ACAGGGGGCACACAGCTAGCATAAAAACATCATTGTACGCTTGAATTGGGAAGTGGTAAAACAGAATTCAGCTGCAATCTGCTGACATCTAGTGGTGATATTGTAGACATTGTAACTTTAAATCTTTTTAAAATGACAATACTTTGAATATTTTCCATAATTACATGTTTCATCCAGCTGGTGTTTTCACATTTCTACTTAAATGCGAATAAGTTGTTCTGTTTTCACAAACTTCTTTGTTATTAGCTTACATACAATGCAGTAAAAAAATATTCACCTCCTTCCTTTTTTGCATATTAGTCACACTTACATGCTCCAGATTATCAAATACATTTTAAGATTAGACAAAGATAACCCAAGTTAAAATACAGTTCTTAAATGATTTTATTTATTAAGGGGAAAAAGTTATCCAAACTTACCTGATCCTATGGGAAAAAGAAATTCCTCCTAAACCTAATGACGGTCTTGAAGTGCCATCAAGTTTTTGCATTAACTGGCAATTAGTTGTCCACAATGCTCTTTTTTGCAGAACTGGTTTCAGCCACATTTGAGATTTTGCAAGCATGAACGGTCTGTTTAAGTTTATGGCAAAGCATCTCAGTCAGATTTATATTTAACTGCTTATTATTTTGCACCTTTTAAAAATATAAATCCTCTATATCTACATTATAACATAGTACATAAGTAATCAATAAACCCAATCCAGTACTATGTATTTTTATTTCAGCAAAGAACATCAATGCCTGTTTAAACACTTTGCACGACAGTTATTCCAGGCAATCAACTCTCCCTATTAAAAAAAAAAAGGATTCCTGGAAACTGCTCTGACTTCCTAACACGTTTGCTGATAGGAAGCTATTGACACATCTCCTTCTTGACACTATGACTAATATGTTATGATACATCCTACAGCATAATAACAGAACAAGGTCAGACAATCACGGCTGATTGTTAAATTCAGCTAACAGTCACAGAAGGCTGTTTAATTAGACCTTTAGGGAACTTTAAAGCTATTTGGGAACTATTGTTAACCCTGCTCTCCTCATTTATTTCTTATTCTGTTTGTGATGAAGATTATGAAGAAAGTACAAATTCTGGGAAACTCTGTGAACACATGAAGTGTGGGCAGTAGATCAAGTTTTACTGGCTCCATATTTTGCTATCTTGATGGGGGTGGTGATAGGCTCATTTTAGTTACTTTGTATAATATTTTAGCTTCATCTAGCTGTAACTTAACATATCTAATTATTAATTAATTAATATTATATGAATATCTCACATGTACAAAAATAAATGTAATAGTGTATGAATAAATGTCACCAAAACTTGTTATACATTCGTCCTACTATCCAGTATCTGGATGTTACATGTTAATGGTTTATTGCCATGCTTTAACAAAGGTGTGGTCGTACTGGGGAAATACAGTCGTAACCACATACCAGTGCAGCAACTTATAGGTGTGTGTGTGTACTTGTATTACTCATTCATTTTGTTGGGACAGACCTCAGTGAAAAACATGTATCGATCATGTAAAGTTAGTTTTAGGTTAAGATGAGGACAAGTAGCTATAGTGTGCATTAGAGTGAGGAGGTGATTTATTTCACTGCTAAGTGATTAAAAGTTCCTTCTAACTTCATGTGGACAGAAGGTTTGTTTAGAGTTATTGTAGGGTGGATGTTTCTGCCTTTTGGGGACATTTTGGCAGGTCCTGGAGAAAAGAAAAACCATCTGTTGTTGGGTTAGTGACTCACAGATAAACACCATAAGCCTTAAAATATTTCTTAAAAATCCATCACTTGATCCAACTATCCTAGCTAATTATAGGCCAATCTCCAAACTTCCTTTTATCTCAAAAATTCTTGAAAGAGTATTTGTAAAACTACTGTGGACTATTAGGGCCAAATTAAGAGAAATAAATATATTATTGATCATTTTGAGAAAAAGGTCAAAATGTGGAGATTATACTTATTTCAAAGCAAACTGGTGTGGTTGCTGTACCCTCTAAAAATGCCTTCTATAGATGAATTAGTAAGATTGTATTTCAGAATAGTTTTAGCTACAAGGAAATGATTTCTCTTTTAGCACATAAACATAGTGTTGTAATCAGTACGGGGACTGAAAAGATGCTCCAGAAAGCTGCATCGGATCAGATGTGGAAGAGCTGATTTGTACAAAATGAAATGTCTGACAGTGGAGAGATGCAAGGATATCGATGGTTACACCCTCATACACTAAAGAGGATGTATGTTGTGTCACAAGACAACTGATCAATTTGTTTCAGTAACTCATCTACACAAACCATTCTTTAGATTGTATAGCAGACAGTTTTGGCTTGAAGCAACTGTAACTTCCACACTTTTTTGACTTTTTTCTCAAAATGATCAATAATATGTATATTTTTTCTTAATGTAGCCCTAATTTGTATAAAACTGCTAACTGATCATCTGCAGATGTATGGTTTATTTAAAAAGTTTCAGCTCTTCACAGCACAGAAACAGCATTAGTGAAGGTTATAAGTGATCTTCTTATGGCCTCTGACAGTGGACTCATCTATGTGCTTCTCTTTTTAGACCTCAGTGCAGCTTTCCACATTATTGAGGTGCTGCACTGTAGTGGTTTGACTCATATCGATCGAAAAAATTCTGATTTGTTCATGTAAATGAAGAGTTTTCTTCACACAGAAAAATTATCCTGCGCTAGGTCCAATTCTGTTAACATAATACATGCCTCCCTTAGACCGCAGGTGTCAAACTCCAGTCCCTGAGGGCCGGTGTCCTGAAATTTTTCTTTATGTCCCTGCCGCAACACACCTGAATAAAATTAGTAGGTCATTAGCAAGACTCTATACACTTGATTGTATGCTATTGACTTTCTATAGAGTCTTGCTAATGACCTACTAATTTTATTCAGGTGTTGCGGCAGGGACACATGTAAAAATTTCAGGACACCGGCCCTCGGGGGACTGGAGTTTGACATCTGTGTCTTAGACTAGCAGTCTCCAACCTTTTTTGCGCCACAGACTGGTTTATGTCCGACAATATTATAAATACATAAATACAACAAAATAAAACCATTACCAGTACCAAAAAAAAAAAAAAAAGATTCATTCAATGCAAGGCATCTGCTATGCAAATGATACCCGACTTTATCTATGCATGAAGCCAAATGACACACACTAATTAGTTAAAAGCAGGAATGTCTTAAAGACATAAGGACCTGGATGACCTCTAATTTCCTGCCCCTAAATTTAGATTAAACTGAGGTCCTTGTACTCTGTCCTAAAAATCTTATAAATACGGTCTCTAACTAGATACTTGGTCTAAATGGCATTACTTTAGCCTCCAGTAACACTATACTATAAATGGTAAATGGCCTGCATTTGTATAGCACTTTACTTAGTCCCTAAGGACCCCAAAGCGCTTTACACTACATTCAGTCATTCACACACAGGTGATGGCAAGCTATGTTGTAGCCACAGCTGCCCTGGGGTGCAGTGACAGAGGACACTGGCGCCACCAGGCCCTCTGACCAGCAGCAGCAGCAAACATGGGGTTAGTATCTTGCCCAAGGATATTTGCCATGCAGCCAGGAGGCAGCCTGGGATCGAACCACTGACCTTCTGATTAGTGGCTGATCTGCAGCCACCCCCTATAAAAAATAACATGAAGTCATTTTTGACCAGCTTATGACTTTTATTGTGAATGTTAAACAAAAATGACACAATGGGCTTATTTGAAAGTGGATTCACAGGCAGAGGCTTCAGCTTCCAGGCTCCCATTTTGCCTTTATGAGTTAGATAGTCTCTCTACTTTTAAGATTAGGCTTAACACTTTCCTTTTTGCTAAAGCATATAGTTAGGGGTGGATCAGGTGACACCGAATCCTCCCTTAGTTATGCTGCAATAGTCTTGGCCTGCTGCTATTATCAATCTCTGGTTCTCTTATACAGTGTGTCTTCTTTCCTGTCTTCCTCTCATCACTCCCAACCAATCACAGCAGATGCCCACCCCTCCCTGAGTCTGTTTCTAATTGAGGTTTCTTCCTGTTAAAATGATTTTTTTCCTTCCCACTGTCACCAAGTGCTTGCTCATAGAGGGCCATTTGATTGTTGAGGTTTTCTATGTTGCTTCTATACTATTGTAGGATCTTAACCTTACAGTATAAAACACCCTGAGCCGACTGTTGTTATGGTTTGGTGCTATATGAATAATACAAAATTGAAATATTGGTTTATGCATGTCTTTATCAATCTATCATCTTGTCTATGTTCTTTCTTCAGAAACCAAAAAAATCGAGAGAGAAACATTTGTATTAATATTGGTTTACGTAGTTTTTATTATTTTAAATTAAAGTGTATTTAAGACATGACGTTTTATTATTAGGGTTACTGAACTTTTAACAGAAATTGTGCTACAGAGTGGACATCTGGAGTTTGCCATAGGAAGTTGTGACAAAAGGAAGGAATAGACCGTTTAAGAAGGAAGAACCTGGAAAATTATTACGGCGAAAATGTACCTGTGGCACACTTACCAGCAGATGGCGGTAGACACCAGCCTGTAAGCGTTACAGGACCCACAATTAGACAAGTAATATTCACAATAATGCTGAAATACTCAGGGGCTAGGGGCTCACACGGTTGTCAACTTAGCTTTCTGTTGCTGTCAAACGTCAACAATACATCAGTACATTCCTGTACAGCTCCTCTTCAATTCACTCCTGTCTTGAATTAGGATTAGCTGTCTTCCGGAGACGCCTGTAGGCCCCCAACTTGTGTTAGCGTCCCCTTAACTGACAGTTGCTACTTATTTTTTACGTAGATGCGCGTTTAATTCTGAAATACTTTATTTTAAGCGGAATATTTTGATTGCATAACAGTTCTTGTACTTTACGGCAGGTAATTAGCCGACCCTGTGACGTTTATAGTTAGATGCGTTTTATAGCACGAGGTTTCCCGAGCGGGAGGGGTTCTTCTTGCCCGTAGTGATTACCAAGGGAGCTCACGGTGAGCGCGGTGACTCAGATCGAGCGCACCCACCGTAACGAGACAAGAAATAGTAAAAGACGTTTGGCGCGGTTGATAGACTAGCTGCTGACAGCAAAGGGAGTAGATCCGGGGATAGACCCGCGGCTCGAGTATATTTTTTAGAAGTACTTTCTCTGGGAAACAGACTTAAGAGATTTAGATCTGTTCTCGAGTTTGTACAGAGAGAGGCGGTTTGTTCGTTGTTTTTCACCAGCCGTAGCCAGCCGTCTACCTAAGCTTGCCCTGCTCAGGCAGACGGAAATATCCGAAAATGCCTCCCGTCGAAAATGACAGTGGGAAGAAGGAACTCAAATCTCAGATACAAGCGCTTATCGACTCCAATCAAGTGATTGTGTTCAGCAAAAGCTACTGCCCATTTTGTGTAAAGGTAAGGCGTTTAGTTTGTCGTAGGCGGTAGAGGCTCCGCGCCGGTCAGAAACTTCCACCTTCTCCCGCGAAGTACACGGGCTTGGTCTAATTGCTGGTTTGGCCTTGCTGCGTTAGTACAGTCATCAACTTTGGTGGCTAGAACTTTACTATTACGCATAAGCTCGCTAAATGACAAAAACAAGACCGAACAGCATAGCCTTTAATGTAATTTACGTTAGGTCAACAATGGCAGAAGATAAATATCCAGTGTTATATATTTAAGCCTGGGACGCTTTAGCCGCCTCTGAACCAGCTCCTTGAAAAGTCAGCTTTACATATCGTATTGTTCTTAGTTAACTCTGCTAGTGATTCGCTACAATGTGCAGTAAATTCTGAACGCACTGTATTTAAAAGCTGCGCTAATTTATTTAAAACTCATACTTTTCTCCCATTTTTAAAATGCTGCCTTCTGCCGCCATAACCTGGACACAAAGGCTTACCTGACAGTTACAAGATGACATATTTGTTAGTATGAAAATGTTCTAACGTGTGGACAAGTTTGTGTGCGTTTGATGTAGGATTAATCTTTTACCTTATTTGTGTTTTCAGGTCAAAGACTTGTTCAAAGAACTGCAAGTCGAGTGCAATGTGGTGGAGCTGGATCTTATGGGTAAGACGAGCATTGTGAGGTAACTGATAGCCGCTGTGAGGGATATTTAATGTGTTTGTCAGCAGCTGTTACACTCCGTGGCTGCCCATAAGTAGCTTTATGTGTATTATTCAGATCGCGAATGACTATATAAAAAAACAGCTGGGAGTATTGTAAAGTAAGTGCTATATAGTTAGCTATAGTGTTGTATCAAGTTTTCCATTTAAAGGCTTAAAACTGCAGATTATTTTGAGCAAAACAAATGTTTCACTTCTTACAGCAAATAAGTTACAAAGAGGCAGGTATAAACAGGGGACTGACAATCTTTGTCTGTGACCTGGTATAACTAAAACAATACATGTTTGTTTGCTTTATTAGCTATGCTAACATTTTAGTGTAGGTTTTTAATAATTCACTCATGACAGTCCAGCTGCTTGTTTAAGGCTTGTGTTTCTAGTTTGTCTGTTGAAAGCCTCTTCCTGTTTAATGTACATTTTGCTTTGTGCTGTCAGTTTCAAAGCCCCTAATTTCATATATAACATTTTCACAGTAGTTAATTCGGTTTTCTGTTCACATATCGGAAACGTTGTCCTATACTGGTTCACGGTCTGGGCTGTCTTTGCAAAAGCACAAAATGTGCTGAGTCATTCACCGAAGATGGCCCTGTGCCATTATCTCAGTGCACTCCTACCTCACTGCTCCTGTCTTGCTGAGTTAATTACCAAGGTTTAATGCTAGAGGTGGGTTGCACGTGGTGGATGTTAAACGTTAATCGGTGGAAAACCTAACAAACTTAATTACCAGAGGCTATAATTGGTCATAATGTGCAGTAAAAGTCGGCACAGGATCAGCTAAGGAAAGTGTTTATTACAGCAGTACACATTCCAGGTTTACCCTTCCCTTTTGTTATTTGTATTTCATTTGCACATCAAAGATGGTATAAACGCACGATGCATGGCTAAGTTTCAGCATGTGAAAAACTTGCCCCCCCCCCTTCAGATAATGGGACAAGCTACCAGGAGATGCTGCTTGAGATGACCGGACAGAAAACGGTTCCTAACGTTTTCATCAACAAGAAGCACATCGGTGGCTGTGACAAAACATTACAGGTAAGCAATGAAAGTCGTCTTGCAGCTCAGATGTAACTTGTTTTTTCTTGTAACTTGCCTCTTCTCATAACAGAAATGGGTTGGTTGTTTTTGTCACAACTGGAAAGAGGTGAAAACAAACCATGTGGTTGTCAGCGTATGATGCCACTAAGCCAAGCTGTGAAAAACTCATTGAAAATGTAAAAAAGAAAAAGGTTTATGGTGATTATTCCATCAGGGGTGCATGAACAGGGTGAGCTATGTCGTCTCATACACTTCATACAGCTGCAGGAAAAAGAAATAGGAAAAAAACACCACTGTTTCAAATCTTTAATGAAAATATTCAGAAACATTCAGTAAAATGGCTGCAGCTAATCTTTGTAGACCTAGTTACTTGTAAATAATAATGTTATCCCGACCGGTAGCATCCCCCGGAGACTTGAATGGCAAAATTTCCCTCTCGCTTAACACACTGCTGATACGAATCCACGTCAGATAATGGGTGGCAGTGCTAATATCTGACTTGGACTGGGATATCTGTTAATAGCAACACCTAGTATGAAAAGGCTCAGTGTACCCTTTGTTTGTTTGTTTTTGTTTGAAATGATTAGCATTGCTAAGTGCTACAGTAACAAACGTTGTGTTGCTGTTTGTGTCAGGCCCATAAAGACGGCAGCCTGCAGCAGCTGCTTAATGGCGATAATGAAGACTATGACTACGACCTGATCGTCATCGGAGGCGGCTCTGGAGGCTTGGCCTGCTCGAAGGTGATGTCAGAATTCAGTATTTAGCTCTGATTTGACTGCTTTGTGTGAACTGGGATCCCACAGACAGCTGTGCTTTTGTACTTGTGTGGGGGTGCAGCTGTAACTTTGGTCACCAGCAGAATTTTAGACATTTGCAGGCTTTTGTCTTTGGAGGATTGTTAGTGAGATTTTCACACACTTGTATGATAAACGGGGCACAGGACAGAAACTAGAGTACCAGTGTAAATGACAGGAAAACAGAAACCTGTGAAAGGCTAAAATGTGTTATCATAATGAAATATAGTGCAAGGTGGTTCTTGATCTGTGGTGGTGTGGTTGGTGATTTCTCAGAACTAGTGTGAAACTATTGCTGATGATGTAATTCACTTACACCACTTCTATTTGCTCCATAAAACTGTGCAACACAGCAGTAAGATATAATCTTTTAACAACAGGAAGCTGCTACACTGGGGAAGAAGGTCATGGTGTTGGACTACGTTGTGCCCACACCAAAAGGAACCACTTGGGGTATGATACTTCCTTTTAGTAAGACTTTTGACGCAGGGTTTGTCTGGATCTGTTGTGGCTGCTAAACGACAGTTTTGCTGTGTTCTGGCTGTGACGATCAGGTCTCGGAGGAACGTGTGTGAACGTAGGCTGCATTCCCAAGAAGCTGATGCACCAGACGGCCTTGCTGTCCACGGCCATGCAGGACGCGCGCAAGTTCGGCTGGGAGTTTGATGAGACAGGTGAGGGCTCAGGGGACCGACCCAGGAGGTCACGCAGGGGTGACATCACACCAGCTTGCCGTGGTAAATCAGAGGCGAGCCCATTTAGGAGGCACCCCGTAGTCTTTCAACTGCTTCTACTGATGAGTGTCTTTTTCTGTCTTCAGTGAAACACAACTGGGACACGATGAAGACCGCTGTTAACAACTACATTGGCTCCCTGAACTGGGGCTACAGGGTATCACTGAGGGACAAGAATGTCAACTATGTCAATGCCTATGCAGAGTTTGTGGAACCACACAAAATCAAGGTAACCGACTGCTTTCAATGAAAATGAATCTTCAATAAAGTCATGCAGAGGTTTAGTCGTTTCATAACTTAACAAAGTCTTCGTTCTCTGCTTCCTCATGTTACCATCTCGCAACCTGTTACTAATCTGTATAAGCTGTCAGCTTTGAAATCATCCTGTTGAATTAACTGTTATTTTTGTGTCCTAAACAGGCTTTTCAAAAATACTTATCGGTGTTTAGAAGTTGTTGGCTGTCGTTGCAATCACCTCACTAGTTGCACAAAAAGCAGATTTTTCAGAAACATCCACTACATTGAAAAAGCTTCCTGTTATGTTGCATGTGTGTCAAAATATCTGTTTGTGTTTCCTGACAGGCTACAAACAAACGAGGGAAGGAGACGTTCTACACAGGAGCCAAGTTTGTTTTGGCTACGGGTGAGAGGCCACGTTACCTGGGCATTCCCGGAGACAAGGAGTATTGCATCACCAGGTGACAGCACCGTGCAGAGTACACAGAATCTGACAATTTGTGTTATAGTGTGTGTGAGTGACTGAAGCTCCACCCAGAGCTCCTTTTTAGACCAGTGGATGGGTTCATGGCTGAAATAAGTGTCACTTCCTTAAGGTGTGATCTCTGAAAACAAACCTGCCCTTTAGTGATCCAGCAGGTTGTTGTGCCTCAGAGCAGCCGTCTGTCTGCCTGCTCTGTGAATGCTGACGTGAGATTATCCTCGGGTGTCTTTGACGATTATGCTCCTGTCTTGGCAGAGAGGCTCATTTATTCCACAAGGTCTTAAACCAGAGCTGGCTGAACAATGTAAGAAACAAGCCTGGGCTTGGTAGGGTTTATTCGGGGATTCTCTTCGGATCTCACAGCTGTTGTTGGACAGTCTGCCAGATTTGATACTTTTGTTGTCAGCTACTGAAATTAAGCTACACATCCTATAGCTCACACCTGAAAATAGGATAAGCAATAATACGGGATATGGTTGGATTTATTTGTTGTGACATGAAATATTTAATTATTTGAAAATCTTTGAAAAAAAGAAATGAATTAAAATTTTGAGTGACCAGCTTGTAGGAGCAGAGTGCAGGGCAGCACTGAGCAACATCATGAACCTTGTTCTATTAAATAATCCGCAGTGTGGCTCAAGGCTTTAAATAAGTATTAGACAGCATCTCTCCACACCCTGTGAGGTAAAAAGAAAAAATAACCTGAAGGTCTAGATCAGCAGAAGCAAGTGTCACACCTGCTAAATTCTTTGTATGCAAAACTAGCTGCACAAAAACCTGCTTTAACCTCACCTTGTTTTTGTTTGTTTGTTTTGTTTTTACAGTGATGACCTCTTCTCTTTGCCTTACTGCCCGGGGAAAACTCTGGTGATCGGAGCGTCCTATGTGGCTTTGGAGTGTGGCGGCTTTCTGGCCGGCCTCGGGCTCGACGTCACCGTCATGGTACGGTCCATCCTGCTGAGGGGCTTCGACCAGGACATGGCCAACCGCGCTGGTGAACACATGGAGGGGCACGGTGTCAAGTTCCTCCGTAAATATGTACCCACAAAGGTGAGCGTGAACACAACCTGCTGTTTGTGATTTATCTTATTGATCTCGGAGTATGCCTACATGCAATGGTAATAGCTGTAATCTTTAATGTTGTCAGGTCATGTGCTTAATAGGTCAACATTAAAAGCCTTTGATTTATAGTGAACGCAGGAGGTGGTCAGTAGACTCTGATCAGCATATAGATGAATGATGTTTTAAGCCTTTTCTCTTCAATTATGTGTGTCAGATAGAGGAGCTTGAAGCAGGAACTCCTGGCAGGCTGAAGGTGACCGCCAAGTCCACAGAAACCGACGAGATCATCGAGGGAGAGTACAACACTGTATGTATCGCTTCGGTTTTCCTTCACCCCTCTCTCTGCTCCGTCGTCATGTATTTCCGCCAAAAGAGTAAACGGTTTCTCTCACAGCTTATTTCTGTGAAAGAAACTACATTTAGTGTTGCAATAATCACTATTCTGTGGTCACTTTAATATTAATCAGGCTCCGTAGTGTTTAGGGTACTTTTCTCTCTTCTTTTTTTTTTTTTTTTTTAAACCCCCATTTTTACAGTTTAACTAAACCAAAGATATGATGATTTTACATAATCTGTGATATGTTGAGATACTGCCATGTAGTCATCAGCTGTCATGTTAGTGTTGAGAAGATGCCATGTCTCTGGAACAATTGGCAATGACAAAGGATTAATATCACACTGCATTAAAGCTAACAAGCTGGGGTTTTTGTTCTTCAGGTGTTGATCGCAGTGGGCCGAGACGCATGCACAGACAAGCTCGGCCTGGATAAGGCAGGAGTCAAAGTCAACCCAAAGTAAGTTCAGTATGTTGTTACTGCCGAGGAGGCCATGTTTCGGGTGTATTTGCACGTGTCATTAAATCATCATTAAATTTGATAGGTCAAACTTTTTTGTGGCTTCTGTAGGCATGTAGAGTGGGGTCGTGGTCTGAGAAACTATGATTGTCACAATCTGGTGTGTATTGCCAACACATGGAAATTTTAAAATCTTTATATGGTATTAGCCAGTCACATTTGACCTCTGGCCGCTCCTTCATGGTCAAATGAGATCAAACTTTCATAAAATGTCATCTTTAAAACTATTTTTAAAGTCTGCATCCAAATATCATGTGAGACTTGACCTTTGACCTCACATTTACATTTCACATCCGTCTTTCTGTCCAATTGGCCCCGAAATGTGTTTCTTGGAATGAGATAGAAATATACTGTAGTATAATATTTTAGTCCACTGCAAACTTCTTGAAGACCAGAGAAAACACAGTGAATATACAGAAAATACAATTAAAAGTAAACACCGCCCAGGGTGAGCTGGCTTGATTTGCTCTCGGAGTGCTTGTACGTGTGTTCCCCTGTCCCTTTAATACTCGCAGTACAGTCACAGTGATTCAGCAGTTCTTGCTGCTCAGGGCTCTCTGCCTGGTGTGAGTGTTGGGGGAATTTGGTGGGGAGGTGAGGGGTGGCTTGTGGGTAAGATGAGAACACTGCTGTAAATCACATTGGTATTAAGTGACAGAACAAAGGAAGTATCTATATTAAAAAAAGGCTTTCTGTTCTGAGTTCGCTTGTTTGTTTTTGAAAGAGTAAAAGTATAAAATTAGGTTTGGAAAAACATTCTTACAGACTGACACCTCCTGCAGGTCATTATTGATGCTGTTGATACCAGCATAGAAATGCAGTGTTTTCTAGAAGGCTTTCTTTTCACTCTTGTGTGAATAACTGAATGGCTGAGCCTGTGTTGTGAGGCCTGTAGGGATTAAGACGGCATGAGTCCAGCTTTAAAGAGTGTTCTGAGTCTCATGACCATAGCAATCTTTAGTTGAAGCCCAGCATTAGCCAGAGGGCTTCTGTGCTCAGGGGCCTGTGGCTGTTCTGCTCCTGCGCAGCGCAGATCCAAATCACTGGCTACTGCCAGTGATTTGGATACTACTACAAGTGTGCTTCTCCTTTTTGCTAAGTATGAATGACCACATAGCCAGTTATCCATTTCTGCTTTGTCACTGACACACAAATGTTTATCTGTGTGGTGCTCTCTAACCTTGTTTCCTGCAGGCTTTTTGCTGAGTGTATAACTCTTTTTGGTGCTTTCTATAACGGTCCCCAGTCATCTACACAATGTCAGGCTTATTGTAAAGATTTATTATAAAGAAAATATCTGTCATTCACAGTTAAAATGATTGTGTAATTTTCTATTATTGTTGCACCCACTTAACTTTGAACTTCAACACTCGGATATTTAATTTAAAGTCACAAAACGGGATAAAAGTCTTATGCTCGATGATCCCATCCTGCAGGAATGGAAAGATTCCTGTGAATGATGAAGAGCAGACCAACGTGCCCCACATCCATGCCATTGGCGACATTCTGGAAGGCAAATGGGAGCTGACACCTGTAGCCATCCAGGCTGGCAAGCTGCTGGCTCGACGCCTCTACGGAGGATCAACGGTCAAAGTAAGTACAATGTGACTGTGTCATGATTTCTGACTGTCATTCTAAAATCTATTTGTCCATTAAACTACAACCAACTCAATACTACCAGACATAAAGTGTCTGAACAGTCTTAGTACCTATTTAAGGTGCATAAAGACCTGTTTCATAGGATGGAAACTGAATGTTAAGGTGCCATTAAGACTAATCTTATTTTAAAGAGGTATATTGTTAAAATCTGAAGTAAGCCATTGAAAGGGAAGGACATAAAGAAGGTCAGAGTGTTTTGTGCTCCAGATGATGAATCTGGTGTTCCATGACAAGATTTTGTTGATCACTAACCAAATGCTGTTTTTTGCAGTGTGACTACATCAATGTTCCCACCACAGTCTTCACCCCGCTGGAGTATGGTTCCTGCGGTCTGCCAGAGGAGAAAGCCATCGAGCTTTACGGCGAGGAAAACCTCGAGGTAACGGCTGGATTGTTGATGACAGACGAGGCTCGGCTGACTGTGCGCTCTGGTCGCTGCTTTCACATTGAATGAAACTGTCTCTAACTTACTTGGTTGTCACAGGTTGCCATCAAGCAAATACATGCGTTTAGTGTTTTATTCCAGTCATACAAACTCCTCAGTACATCTGTGAATGCGAGCTGACGTTGGACCGCAGAACTGCGTTTGTTTTGAAGCTTTTACATTCATGTGTTTCTGGTCTCATGTTCAGGTGTATCACAGTCTCTTTTGGCCTCTGGAGTTCACCGTGCCCGGCAGGGACAACAACAAATGCTATGCCAAGATCATCTGCAACAAACTAGACAACGTAAGATCAGAGCAACTAAAATGCAACCGACAAATGTGCCTGAATCTGTGGCAGCCACCAGCCTGAGCTCCTGATTTATTTTTTTTAATTGTTTATGCCACACTGCAGGATCGAGTCATAGGTTTCCACTACCTAGGACCGAATGCAGGAGAGGTGACGCAGGGCTTCGGTGCAGCCATGAAGTGTGGCGTCACCAAAGAACAGTTGGACACCACCATTGGCATCCACCCAACCTGTGCTGAGGTAAAAAGACAATGCTGCTACTTTATTTACTTGGGTATCTTCCTGTATTAGTGGACTGCCTTAGATCCTGTGTTTATGTATTTAGGATGGGGTTTGTTTTTTTTGGGGGGGGGAAAGACATATAGCCAGCATCCGAGAATCGGTCCAAACCGGGCCATCTGTAAAAGTTATCACCACCCTGCCAGGTTGGCAGGTGGCATGGACACCAAACTGAATATGAGAACAAGGCAACACAGGATTTTTAAATTGATACCACAAGTATATCTACTAAAAATCTTGAGAAGTTTAAATCTCAGTGACCTTGACCTAAAGGTCAATGGTGTGGTTTTCCTTTTTTTTTTTTTTTTTTTTTTTTTTTGTCTCCTGTCTCTCTCTCGGTCTCCCGCCCTCTCCCCCTTTTTTGCTTTATTTAGTTATTTTCCACGGTTTTGAGTCATGAACTCTTCATAGTGTTTTCAGTTCCTTCTGTTCTCTATAATTTCAGCAAAGTTTTAATGACGGTAAAATGAATCAGTTTTTCATTGAGGCACACTGCACAGTTCGGTGTCAAACCACTCCAGGTCCAGTATGACAGCTAATAACTGTTAATTTCCACAGCATGTTGCAATAGTACTTTCGTCAAGCCAGTAGGAACAGGAAATGACACTGGAGCTGCCTTTAGCACACAAACTGCACAGCAAATATGCTGAAGGCAGAAAGAAAGCTGTGTATGTCTGCAGTTGTCCTATCAGACGGCCAGGATAAGACACCAGGTCCAAAGAGCAGCCATAGACGGCTTGTTTAAAGTGCTTGCTGTCTCTTTAGTGGTCTCACACTTTTATCTTGGGCTGGAACAGGATATTCATCGTGTGTAGAACTTGGTAGATCTGTGTGTGTGTGTGTGTGTGTGTGTGTGTGTGTGGTGATGCACGCTTGGGAATAATTGGTGTAATTAGGGGACATGATTATTCATTATGTTAATCGTGCTGGTGCTAATGGCAGTGCATTAGGTTGCTGAGGATCCTCTTGTTTGATGGGTTTACATCGTATTTCATTTTCTGACGGTTTAGCCCAAATATGTTCATCTGAAACAAACGCAGTGCATTGATGTGACAGCCTGGTGTGAAGTTTCATGTTTGGCTGTAGATGAGATGAGAACATGCCTGTGGCATTAAAGATGTTAATTATGTTCCTGTGTCCTCTTTACCTTCTAGGTCTTTACCACTCTGGAGGTGACCAGGAGCTCTGGTGGAGACATCACACAGTCCGGTTGCTGAGGTTAAACCCTGCATGTTTAGCAGGCTGCTCTCACGTTAGACTCCCCTACTAAACCTTTTCCTCTTGACTCCCAGTCAACCTTTAACTTCAGCCTCACCTCTAGCCCCTCCCTTTACAGGGCATTTATTTCTCAGGAGCACCTGAACGTAAAACTCTCGGTGTGACTGGGAGCTACGAGGTAAATGGAGATGGTCAGGGCTGAAGATCTGCGTGTCTTCTGCTCTGGCTGAAGGAGTCTGATGTGAAAGCTGCCTGCTGAACAGCGGGGTTACTCTGCTAATGTTTCTATTGGGCCCCACCAGCGTGTCACTCTCGGAGAAGCCCAAACACACACCATTCCCGAGTGTGTGTGTCTGGGCTGTTTTTGACGTCCTTACCCGTAACCTCAAATAATTAGGTGGGCAAGGATCGATGTCCCTCTGTAGAAGCACCTGATGGTGGCCCGAACCCTTCGTCCAACCCCCCCACCCCCCAGATTCATCTATTATAAATTGGCTCATTACCAGCGTTTGAAAGGATGCACAATTCTGGTGCGTGCATAGGTTAGCACCATGCCTTCATCATTCCATACATCCTTCGTACAGGTTTATAAGTTGACTTATATGAATATACATGTCTTTGTCAATATTTATCTTTGCTTTGTGAAAGCACCAGAGTTTTCAGTTTTCAAGAGAAACCTGTGATGCATCAAGAGCCTGGAGACTGTTTCAAATAAGCGAATGGCAAGTTTCCACCTGGATTGCTCTGGTCGTGTTTTTGCTCAGTTTGTAATTTAATGACTGCTTGTTGCATTGTGCTGTCTCGTGCGTCGTTTGGAAGACGCCGCTCCCGTTGCTGTTGACGACATTTCATCTGTATAAATGGCTTGTTTGTTTGTGTGGAACTTGTAGAGTCTACTCAGCGTTAAATAAAGGCATGTCTATCTTCAGGTTTCATCTGTCTTTGACTTGTGTGACCCAGTTTGTGTGAAATGATTTCAGGATTCCCACAGAGCCTGCTCACAGATTTCCATTTAGTTCAAGAGTAATAAATGTAAAAAAAAAAAGGTACGAGTTACTCTTAGTCATACGGTGCTTGATAGTGTTTCTGCTGAAGGATATGCTACTTAGTAAATGTCATAGGATTTAACTGGACTGATATTCACAACACTGGCAATACACTGGTGTACATGGTGTGAACTGGTTAAAATGGGACTTTAAATCTCTTGCATTGTAGTTAAACTTTGCTTTTAGATCAGTAGCACACCACACTTTTTAATTTGTCATTTATAAAAAATAAAAAAGCATGTTAGCCTGGCAGTACCATCAGCAAACATCTTTTTTCCTTCTGCCCAAAAAAGAGAGAGAACACAATTTTGATTTTAAGAAGTATCCATAAGCTAACAGACTTTACAGCTGTTAGACCATTGCAGCTTTTGCTATCCTGGTCCAACTAATAGTCATATTTGATTTATTTCATTTTGCATTATTGGAATCAGAACAGTCAAGACTGGTGAACAGGAAAGAAGTTTGAGAGGAAGTTAATAGAAGAAGAGGGATGGAGAGAAAAAACACAGAAAATCTGCTTCATCACCTGCTGGGGAAAAAACACACCATGTGTGCTTGTGTTCAGAAGGTTTCTCCATCTAAGTTTTTAATAGTAGGTGTGGGGAGCCACAGCCCACCGCAGGGGGCAATTGTGGCACCCACCTAGAAAAGACCGGGGTCATCCAGCAGCCACAAGGGGCTGCAGCGGTGATCCCGCAGGCTCTGCAGGCAGGCAGCTACACCAGAGTAGACCCAGCCCCAACCAGGGTGAATGTAGTCTTTCACCCTTAAATCATCTTTGTTTCACCCTGCATGGTAACCATATAGTGGTCAAAATGCAATGAATGAATTATGTAAATACTCCAAAAATGTAGCAATACATAGTAAAGCTAATAATAATGGTTTTAAAAATGCATTTAATCTCTGCATTTTTCTTTTTGCAGTGAACTCATTAAATATTTTCTGTGAGTTAATGTCCAGTTTTCCATTTATTTATGTCATACCACATAGTTCCAGTGGTCTCGGTGCTGAAGTAAGCAGAGGCGGATGTTTGGCGTGTTGCATATATACACAGGTACACCAGATGAACATCATCCCGTTGAAGTGGTCAGCCTATTCATGTGGCCTGCATCAGAGAGCCACGGGGAGATAATAGCATCATTTCCTCCAGGTTTCTGTGGGACTATTCAGCCTCCACAAGTGGCGGTTGTGATCAATAGCATCCAGGCTGGTGTGAAGCCTTTGTTGGGTTCACCTGCTCACATCTGAAAACGCTGTCACCTGCACGGCTGCCATGACAACAAGCGCTTTGATGAGTTATATTTGGCGGGTAATCATTTGTTTTAGGGAGTGTTGTGAGCTCAGTGATTCACTGATGTTTGTTATACCAAAAGCACTCAAAGGCAGAGGCCTCTCTAAAGGTCTGTGAAGCTTCTGGTGTTGGTTTCTGAGCTGAAATGTCCCTGACTTCCTTCTACCTGAATCATGCTCACTTTAGGAACAGTTTATTTGTGCATGTAAAGCAATGAAGAAGGAGTGTATGACATTACCACTAGCTCAGGTTACCTGTCTACACATCAGTGCTGCTTTGAGAAACTGACCTTCAGCTGATATCAGTGGAGCAAATTCTAAACAACTTCAAAACCAACTCACTGTTTCACGTAAGGTGTTTCCAACCCCAGTACTGAACTGAAATCATACCATGGAAATTGCATTGTATTGGCAGTGTAGTGCACACATTAGCCATCAGTTAAAAGACAGCTTTTGTTGATCTTTGTGACAATTTGTGCCTCTTTTTTTGTTTTTTTGTGACTGATTAAACATAAGCATACAGTTATATGGGGTATTTATAGTTTCTTTTATGGATATTTTTTCCCCTTCGAAGTTATTTTGCATCTCTCTGTAGTTATGTGACGCCGCTTTGTGCCTTTCGTTGATCGATTCCATTTCTGTAGTTGTTTTGCATCTCTTTGTAGTGCTTATGTGTACATTTATTGTACATCTTTGAAGATGTACAATAAATTCCACCTTTCTTTGTTGTTTAAAATCCCTTTGTAATTGTTTTTGTGTCTGTTTTTTTATGCTTGCAGTTGTTTAATGTATTGTGTATACTCCATCTCTGTTTGTTTTTGTTTACAATTCTCTGAGGGTGCTTTATATGTCTTTGAAGTTGCTTAGCGTCTCTTTGTAGTTGGTTCGTGTCCCTTGCTAGCATTTTTCATCTTTTTAAGGGGTTTTGTGCATCTTTGTGGTAGTTTTGCATCTTTTTGTGTGTATCGTAAATCTTTTTTGTAGTTGTTTTGTGACTCCTTGTGCGTTTGCTTTTACTAAGTTTGCTTTTCATCGTTGTCTTTTTGCATTTCTCTGTAGTTGTTTGAGACCTCTTTGTGGGTTTTTCTCTTTTCTTTTTAGGTTGAATTGGGGTTTTTTTTGTCTCTTTGTGGTAGTTTTATATGTTGCAGTTTTGTGTAGTGTGTGAAGTCTTTTTGGTGCTTATTGGGCTTGTTTGATGTGTCATAATGGGCAGACATCATCGCTGTCTTTGTTCTGGATCCCATTTTGGCTGTGTCGTGTCTTTGTATTGGTTTTGTGTCTCTTTAAAGCTTCTTTTAATATTTGTAGGTATTTTGGCTCTCACTGTATTCCAGTCTGCAACAGAATAAAGGCCACTTACAAGTGAAGAGATTGTTACTCAAAAGGCTCATTTGTTTGTAAGTGACCAAACTTACAGTTTAACAGGGGATCGAAGGATTATTTCCTCGACTGTAACCCTATACTCTCCAGTGACAACAGCTCATATATGGTGGCAACGTACCTGTCCTTTGCACAAAGGCTGCTCAGAAACAGCCCAAGGTACAAAAAAGAGCCCAAAACTTCTCGGAAGGAACCAAATAAGGCCTCCTGAGGCTCCACCTCGCATCTCAAAAGCCCCAAAGATTCAGCTGCCAACTTCCTGATGTCAGACACCATAGCATGTCCCAAGAGAGGCCATGTTCATGCCCAGTGAGTCAGTGCTATTATGGAGGCATGTGCGAGACTTACACAACAGAAGGCAGCTGCTTTTAATACTGTGGTAATCAGTGGGCTTCTTTTTACTGTAGTGCCACTTTTGTGTGTTTGTGTTTTAATGTCATCCCTCTTCTTAATAAGCATTGATGTTAAAAACCATCTATGTGGTTGTGTTTAGCTGTCCCATATAAGGGTTTAACACAAAATATACTTATAGTATATCTAATGCATCAAGAGTGGTCAAAATAAACCTAACAGTGATAAAATGTCTTGTAGGGTTTGTTTTGTTCAGTTTTTTAACTTTCTTCTCAGAGGGTCTTGCAACAACCAACTTGCAGTTTCAATAAAATGTGTTTTATTTTTTTGCTCAACCGCCCTCAAATAGGGAAGTGACATTAGAAACAGATATCTAGACGTGCACAATCCACAACTGAGTCAAGTTAAATCTCCTTACTTCCTGTATTATGGCTAATGTGCGTCTGTAGGAAACGAAGAGCCCTGTCATTGCATTTTAAAAATGACTCATTTGTAAAGAGGTGGCGATGAAGCTGGGAGCTGCCAGCAGGAAATAGAAACCTTTGATGATATGTGGAGGGTAATCAATGAGAAGTGAAAAATCATTGCAGTTTCAGTACTGCATGACTTGCTGATTTCAACACACTCCTTCTCACAGCTAACCTGATGGTGAAACCTGTGCTTATGTAATCATATCTCACGTTATAACTGCACACTCATAATGACCAGACTTTCTATTGTACTTTTTGTGTGCAAATGATTAACCCGCACAACATAAAAATGAGTTCACATCAGTGTGTGAGTTTCAAATAGGTAACCTCGGGGTCAATGACATGCCTTTCTGTGTAGTTATTGATTAATTTCATCTTAACTGCGTTTTCTGGAACTCAAGTCATCATTGATACTGATTTTACCAGGAAACGTGTCTGTTTCCTGTAAGAAAATCTGAGGTGCTGACAGAGCTGAACGCACAGTCTGATTCACCTGCGCTCTGATCTCATGTACATATGAGGACAGAGTTATTAGGCCTCTTATGAAAAGCATTTCTCAATTGCTGTTAAACAGAGCAAATAATTTTTATGCAGCTTTCCCTGACATCCTAATTGTATTTCGAATGCTTACATTTTTAAAACTAATTCACAAAATCCCAAAACTACCAGGGTCAAAAGGGTCAGCCCCAGTTTTCTTTGTCTTTTTTTGTCAAGTCCATCTTCCACATGACTGCGTCCTGAACATCAATCCAGTAAGAATGAAATAACATCGCCTGCTCTGCTCAAAATCCCTACTTCAGTTAAGAAATCATCTACTAACAGTTTTTGTTATTATTTTGTCGTATATATGACTTTCAGTGTATATGACTAAACATTTTGTCAGTTTTGTCATTTCATTCTGGAAGCAGAGAGGCTGGAACTACATCAGGGATCTTTATGTGGAAAATAAGTGTGCCTCATTTACACAGTTACAGAATGTTTGCAAAATGACTGCACCGGGTTTTATTGGATACTTACAAATTTGAAATTATGTCAGAAAACGCACCCAACTCCAAAGTAAGGCTTCACACTAATATTTCACCTGTCTGTCATGATAGAATAGAATTAGAATAGAATAGAATTCAACTTTATTGTCATTGCACATGTCACAAGTACAAGGCAACGAAATGCAGTTTGCATCCATGCAGAAGTGCTTTAGCAATAATATAGATATATTACAAAATATATATTAGCAGTAATATAGATATGTAGATATTGGAAGATATGCATTTATTGGAAGACGAGTTTTCACTGTTACTCTGAAGAATTTGGGAAGAGCTGGGAATCAGCTCTTTGACATCTGTAAACGAGTATGAATGGATCACAATCCTGTTTGGAATAGTTACTGC